GGCCACCCCCATCCTTGGCACAGCACTTCTGCTCCAGAGCCGGACAACCCCAGCTCAGTGACCTCCGTGACGCCAGGACTCCTCGGCTCCCTTCTCTGTTCAGTTCATTGCACCAGGGACCGAATCCTTTCCCTTCCGGCAAGCAGAGCTTTATTCCTCGCCCCATCCAAAAAGAAAACCCTTTTCTCTGGTCCCCCAGACACCCTTACAAAGGACATCGTGCAAAGGCAGAGAGCAGCTCTGGAAAAGCCTAATCCTGCGTCTGATGTCTGCCCGCTCGCCCCTGGCTGCCCTGAGCTGCTGCCAGCGATGCCTGGGGTGGCTGCTGGTGCCACATAGCCCTGCAAACTGGGTGGAAAGTCCCTCCCTATCTGCTCTTACTGAAAATCCTGCGCTGGTTTTCCCATTTTCCCAGAATCTTTAGGTAAGAGGGTGTAAGTATGTGTTAAATCCCAGTAAGCAGCAGAGCTGCGGGATCCAGCCTCCCGGTCCAGCTGGGACCTGTCTCACTGCTGCAAACTGCCCCTGCTTTCAGCCAGCTCCTGCCCCACACACCCCAACCCTGCCCAGTTCAGTGCCAGAACCTCCTCCCTCAAGGGTCCTGGGACCCTGCGGCAGGAAACCCTGCCTCATGCCTGGATTCTGGGGCTGTTTGGAAACCTGGAAAGTGCAGAGTGCTGGAGGGAGGGTGCCGGAAGTGCTTTGAGCATCCTCCAGCGCTGGCACCAAGGGCCGCTGGCTCCTCTCCTCTGCCGGACAAAATGGGAGAGAGGTAGCACCCCAGCTTTTGGGAACCTGCTGGATCCTTCCTGGTGTCAGCAGGAGCTGCAGTGCAGGGGACCCACCCTGCGGGACCCACCACACCTCAAGCATCCCGTGCCCTTCTGCTCTGCTGGCTTTCCAGAGGCGACGAGGCATGGCCTGATGGCAAGTGGCATCTGCCATCTGATTCAAACCACCTTCCATCAGTGCCATCCCCGCCCGGCGACGGGGGCCGCACGCCTCATTACCCCCCGGCGCTTCACCGACCGGTGCAGCAGCGCAGGGGGGCTGCACTCCCCTCCGAGCATCATCCTCTCCGCCTGCCTGCATCCTCCTCCTCCCACACTCCTCTGCAGGCCCAGGTAGGCACCTGTGCCCGCTGCAGGGACACGCAACGGGGACAGGGACCTAATACGTCCAGACAGGGGACAGATGGCAGGAGCTATTAGGCTGAAGACCTCCTAACTGTCACCTCCAGGAAAACCACTTAAGACGAGTCCCTGGGCAAAGGACGGGTGCTCGCACCGTGCCGAGGGCTGGTGCTCTGCTAGCTCGCTCCCTGGCACCACGCTCTCAATTCCCCTTTTTTGCCCCATGGCTGTGTTTTATTTTGGTTCCTCTGCCTCGCCGGTCTCTAAAGCAAACCATGCCATATAATTGACTCTGGGGGTGCATCAGCCCTTCCCCATTTCCTCCCTCCGCTTGCGGCTCACGCCCGCGTTGCTTCACATTCCCCCTTCCCACTCCTTCCCCCACCGCTTCGGTGCACTCGCTGCTAGTTTTGCTCTGGCTGCCCGTTTCCAGGCGCCGTTTCAGTTCCCCTTCCCTCAGCCACGGGACGGGAGGTGGCATGTCCATCCCGTGCCGGGGAGTGGGCCTGGCCACACCCAGATGCATCAGGCTATGGGTCCCCACACATCTATGGGGCTCACGGGCCAGGTCCTGCATGGGAGAAGCCCATCACAACGCATCCCGGCCGGCACAGGGATACTGGCACCAGGGGAAGCTGCCTGGGGGTCCCCGGGGATGGGACTCAGCACAGCCCTCCCCAACTCCGGGTAGAAAGACCTGTTATCTCTGGAAATAAATCAGGCCAATATTTAAAAATAAAGGTGTCGGCAGGTGCTTGACTCCCAGAGAGGGACTGGAATAAATAAACCCGCAGCGAGTGGCAGGTGGTGGCCAATTCCTTAATCTGCCCTTTTACTAAACATATACCCTGCGAGCAGCCAGCAACAGGTGGCAGGGGCTGGCCGGCCAGCCCTCCTCATGCTATTTTTAAAAAGAGCTTATCTCTCCCTAGTTGGGGCTTTTTTTACATAATCTTCAGCCAGCAAACACCAGTCCCTCCTTCCCCTGTGAGGAAAAATGGGCAGCGGACCCCTCGGCACGTGCAGGGTCTGGCTCCGGAGGGGACATGCTGGTTCCTGGGAAGGGGACGGGACTGCTTGGGTGAGAAGCACTGGGTGCAGACAGTGTCAGTGGGTGCCAGAGCTACACCAGCCCCAAGTGACCCAGGGATAGTCACTGCTCCCTTTTCACCCCCAGTCTGGGGATGGACGGGGTGAGACCAAGGGGACAAGCAACAAGAGGTGATGGATAACCACAGTCCGGCTGTGCTGGTCCCCCAGAGCCCACCCAGGGCAGCCCCGAAGGTGGCTGTAGCCACCCAGCTCTGCTCAGAGGAGCAGGATGCCTCCAGCTTAGTTCCCACCTTGGGCTTCTGCTTTTTGGCTCCCTCCAGCACCTGCCTGCGCTGGGGTTTATCTCCCTGCACTTGCCTGGCCAGCACAGCCAGCGCTTGAGATGGGGAGACCAAAGCCGGGTCTGGATCAGGGACCCACAGATTTGGCTTCTCCCCAGCTAAACAGGCAGCAGCGACGTCCCCGTCACGTTCCCCTTACCTGTGGGCTGCTGGTGCCGAATCCCAGGCTGGGGGTGGAGGGGACGGACATCGAGTGAGGGCCCATGGGGGAGCTGATGACGGAGAACGGAGGTCCCATGCCGTTGATGGGCGAGCTCAGGGTGCTGATGGGCGAGTGGAGCTGGCCCGGGGAGCCCAGCGAGGAGCCGATGCCTGGCCCAATGGATGGGTGGAGGGATGGGGTGGCCATGGGCCCCCGGCTCGTGGGAGAGTTCAGGGATGTGGAATTGACTTGGTTGGAGAAATCTGCAAGAGAAGAAGGAGAGGAGCGGGGATGAGTGCCCGGTCTAGGACAGGCTCTGCAGCAAGCCCTGAGCAACAGCCACGGAGCTGCTTTTCAACCCCTCCCCAAAATTCCCAATGCATCCTCCGTCTTTCCACCCTTCTGCTGGAGTACCTACGTGTTCAGCCAGGCTCTGAGCGCATTCCCACCTCGAGAGCCAGTCATCACTGCCCCCCTGCATCCCGCTCACCCGCTGGACCCCACCTTAAACCCCTCTGCAGAGGCAGCATCCCGGATCCAGCTGGGGCACTGGTAGGAACCCCACTACGGGAGTGGGCAGCTGCCCTCCGTGCTACGGGACAATTCAGATTTATCACAGCGCCGCAGGGCCCCGCCACGCGTGGGGAGCACGGCGGGGCTGCGTGC